TCTCTTCTTTTATGTCCACCTTTGCCGCTTCCTTTGACCTTAACAATCTCTCCTGTTCCTCATAATGGTCCAGCTCAGAACTGTGCATATCGTGTTCGGCAAGGAAGGGAATTTGGAAAGTGGTTCTTTTATGTTAGAGTGGAGCTACAAAGGGACTCTGGGCGTTTTGAGTGGTTTGATAATTCTATGGGTAAGTTTGAGGATTGTTATTCTGATTTAAGTGGTGGTGGGGTTTTTTGGGATTGAAAGTATTTTGGTTTTGATTTTGCGGTGGTGGAGCGATTTGATGGTGGATATTTTGAGGATTGGGTGGCATTTGGGGGTGGTTGTTTTGAGGAGGAGGTGGAGTTTTGTAGGATTCGGAAGCATATTGGGGATTTTAGGTAGTCAGATCTATAACCATCGGATTCTGAGCAGGTGTAGATGGCTAGTTCTGAGCTGATTCCATATTTGAAGAAGGGAAATAGATTGGAGGTCTCCCATCAGCAGCATTAGCAACGAACCTTGGCGGAGGCAGATCCTATCTCTTTTGCATTTCTACCCTCATCTTTGCAATCTGTTGCATCACCTGCAGAATTAACTCATTCTTGTACGCTATGGTTTGTTGAGCCATCACTACATCAGTAAGACTTACTTCTTCATTACTATCTCTCATAATTGTCTTTCCTTTGTATGAGCTTTGCCTAGGGAAGGAATCTGCATGACCTTTTGATATGGTGAAATAGGGATAATTTGTCAGCTTTTAATCGACATAGATCAGTTCCGAAGTACCTGAGAAGGAAAACAACTCAAAGGAAGATTTGTCAGTGCAGATTCAAAATACAAAATGCATAATGTCTCACAGAGAGCAGATAAACACACAAGTTGTTTTGTTTGAGGATATTTTCAACTCACGAGTAAGGACGGAAACACATTTTTTAACAAGCAGGAGTTTTCTTGTTTTAGTTTCGACACTGCCTCACAAAGGCTAAATAATGTTGAGCTAAGGTCTTCTTGTAGCTGCTCTTTGACGTCCGTTGATTTGGCCTTTGTATCTTCTCGTAACATGAAGGGGGAGAATGAAAATTTTTAAAGATAGGGGCCGTGCCTGGGAAGGCTGACTAGTATCTCACAAGGAGAATTCAGCCCAACGTAGTTCGAGTACAAAAGAAAATATTTTCATTCATTCATTCATTGCGATTACAAGGAAATTGAAAGACAACAAAGATTTAAAGATAATAATAATGAATACATCTCATTCATTCTTCTTCTCGTTGCAACATCAGTCACGACAATAAACTTGACTCGGATCTTTCCCACGTTGATGAGGGATTCGAAGTCGTGGCGAAACACAAGAAATTTGTCAATGTTGTGGTCTGCGGCATCAACATCATGATAAGGACAACGCATCCAAACTTCGTATTGAATAAAATGCGCTACTTCCAAGCCCCCATAGAAACAAGAAAAGACTCCATTCTGAACTAATCCTGAGTAAACTACCCTCATCATTTTCTTGAACGGCGTGAATGATCAATGATAGAATACGGTCTTCTCTGTTATTAGTATGTCAAGTTGTGGTTCATCACATTCAAGGAGGAATCCATCACCCCAAGTGTTTTGCGTATTGTCCATGCTGAACAAACGACGAATTGTATTCTGGAACTCTACACATTCTTCTATTGTATGCCCTTTCTGGTTGGGATGCCACTCGCAAGTCTTGTGGAGGTCCTCTGATTCCACTTGGGAAGATGCTCTTTCAATGGGCCTCAACATACGTCAAGATCGATAATGCTAAAAAATGAGGGTGCACGAAAGTGCCTCCTCATAACTCTCTTCGTTGATTTCCTCATCGGGGCTCCCAGGACGAAACAGTAAGTAATACAGGCACTTTTCGAGCTGCTTTTTTGTGTCGATTTTCTCTTCTTCACTTGGCCCAGTCTAGATACTCTTTCCTTTGTCCATACCAATGACTCATCTTTCTTGAGATAGTAGCATAATGTTTTAGGATTTGGGGTATGAGAGATGTCTTTTGAGTGAGAAACTTGAGACTCAGAAATTTTGGGTCAGACGTTTTGTAATAGTGACTTGTTTGTATATATCTTCTGAACATTCTGGGTAGGAGTGGGTTTACGATATCCTCATTCACAACAACATAGTACATAAGCAATTAATAGCACATATATATCGTGTCCTAACACATACAGGGGGACCCTTTTATGCCAAGGTAGGCCTAGTGCATTTGAATGATGTACGCGTGAATTTGAACCAAATAGATAATTCCCCCAAAAATAAATTTCACAAATTAAAAAACGTTCACAAAGGGGAAATAAAAGGATAAAAAAGTAAAAGACAGACCTACGTAGGGGCCATTTGAATTTACGAAAGTGCAATAAAGGCAGGCCCATGCAGCGGCTAAAATGACAAATACATATAGAAAAACCTCGTAGGAGCAAAATCCACTATGTCGCTCCAGATGGTCTTGATCCGTCGTTGTTGTCCTGAGTTTTGTATTGTTGATACATATACCACAACATTAGCAAAAATCCTTCTCCCGGGCTTCCTTTATCCTCCAAACTTTCATATGCATCCTCTCAATTTTCTCTTTAACCCAAGTATCAAGATTATCATAACCACGTCATAGTCTTTCAACCTCTTGAATCGCCTTATCAAGAGTATCTTGGTTCTCGACAAACATAATGTACACTACTTGGGCCTCTTGTTTTTACCTCTTGTAGCTTGGCCACTGCTTTCACTTCTTTTTTTATTACGCTGCGAAAGTTGCGCGGGGTTGGGGAGGAGATACTTTGTATGCCTTCTTTCAATAATTTTTTGTAACCCTCATCATATCCGGAATTAAATTGGTTTAGGGCGATGGTATATTTATCCATCCCCTTGGAAATTTTCATTCCCTTAGCATTTCTGAAGCTTCGTGCACCCTATAGTCTGCAATGTCATATACATAAGTGCCATAGTAAGCCTTTTCAGTTATAGTTTTTCTCCTTCCAAACTGTCGCAAGACTCGAAAAGGTACATAGGGGTGAGTTCTCCGAATACCTGGTAGAGGAAGCATAAGTTGTCTGCGGTTTTCCACGACGACTTATTTGGAGATGAAGCGATTGAGCATCCACTGGAGATCTTCTTCTCTCAATTTGGAGAAAATCTTACCCATCTCCCCCTAGTTCTCCGATTATCCATATTTGCCTAGAAAAAAATGTCATTCAAATCTTTGAGGGTGTTCTTGTTGTCGAGAGTATACAACTTCTGAGTCACAACACTCTTTGCCAAGTGACTTAAGATCCACGCGTGTAGGAGTAAATTAAAACTTGGAAGTAACGATGCCCCTCTCTATATTTTCCCAGGGCTCGATACTTGTCAGACAAGATGACTGGGACAATATGATAGTACTTCACTTGCCCTTGGTTCTCGTACCCTTTGAATAGAGTGTTCGCGAGCATTATAACTCAGGTATTGATGCTCAGACTTGGTCCGTGCGGGAAGACCATTGTTCCCAACAACGCTATTGGAAATTCTAAAGGACGAATTTGGTTCCATTTTCTTTAGGAGACCTTGAACTCTCGATTGTAAGTGGCATAGAAACTCTCATGTCCAAATCTGATATAAAGGTCTCTGAATGATATGTGGGATTCTTGGCTGCTAGTAGGCAAAATCTTAACCCAACCCGAGCCAGTCCGTAATATCTTCTACAGAAGGCTTATTAGGTATGAAAATGTCTTCTTGTATTCTTGTCTTTCTTTCTATCCCAATACCTACTGTGTCTATGCAGTCACTGATCTCCTCTAAAGTCGTGGTAATTTCAGTTGTTCCAAATCAGAACATCATTCGTTGGTTATCCCAATACCCCGTGAGGACCTCAACCAATTCTAGACAACCGTTCATGTTGATCAACTCTATTAGAGCACTCACGTATTTGTTGAGGGTTCTTCTATGATCCCGACGAGATTGTCATGTAACATTTTCAATTGGGGTGGTGCTGCAATGATCATGTCGAGTTTTGGAAAACAGTACATATCTACAAAAAAATAAACTAGTTAGGTTCACCCACCGCAAATTGATTTCACACATACATCATTAAAATGTCAAATCAAATGATCTGTCATGAGGTAGGAGACCTTGGACACGGTTTTGCCAATTTTCTACTAAATTGAATTAATACACCTTGGGTGTTAAGCCGTCTTAGGCTAATGCTTTTTTTTTTATTTTGATTTCGCTCTAGCTTAGGTTTACTAGAATAGATTTCAAGTTGACGGTTATTCGAGTCGGAAAAACATCGTGGTGAAGCTACCAAACGATGACAGATGACCGCATTCCAACTATTCGTTTGATGTCTCCAAATGAAACTATTGTGTATTTCTGAAGAAAGCTGTAAAAAGACACGTAAATTTCATTTTCCTAATGCATCTATTTGCCGTTTGGCGAAAATATATCATGAAAATGCAACAATTTTAAATATGATAGAGTAAACAAATAAGTAATTAAAGCCAAGTAATGTTAGTTTTAAGGTTAGAATCCTTCTAGTGCCCGGCAGAGTCGACATTTCTAATTTATTAAAAGTATTTTTTTTGTAAGTTTTGACTCTTTAGAGTCGCCACTTAATTTTGAGAAAATTAAGAAAACTTATTTTCAAGGACTTGAACAAAAAAATCATTTGAAAACTTTAAACGATTTGGGAATTCCTATTAACGTCTTAGGAAGGTTTAAAAGCACCTAAAACTTCCATTAACTCGCGGTTATACGATAACTAACGATTTGGCTAAAAACTTGTGTAAAATAAAAAATACTTAGAGTTGTATGGGAAATGAAAACTTAGTTTTATACTTAAGTAAAATATCTAACTTGAAGAAATATTTCAAAAAAACTACTTAATTTTGATTCCATAAGGTCGTTAAAACAAAGCGGTGTTTGCGGGGATTGGAGCTTGCTAACTTTAAACTAGCGACAAACAAACAGATAAGTAATTAAAAGCATGTAGAGAGAGAGAGAGAGGAAGGGAGGGAGAGAGATTTGGGTCAAAATCCGGGTTTGAAGTTTGCCTTGACCGGCATTTGGACCCACCTGTTTTTGGGTTTTGACCCATTTGACTTTTTGGGTTTTCGACCCATTTTCTTACATACCTGTCTTAGTCTTAACAAATAATAAATACAAAAAATAAAAAGCGACAAAGGCTGATATCCAATATAAATACAATACGATAATAAAATAAACTTGGGTTAATTGTCCCAATCTCTTCAACTCTTCCGACTTGCTTCAATTTTCGACTCCAAAGTCCGTTAATCATCTTTATGGATTGACTCGAAAAGAGGAATTATGAGTCTTTACGACTCTCCAATAATGCAAGGGGAGCGTGAGTTCATGATGGAACTCGAACGGATTTTAAATGCAAAAATGATAAAAGGATTAGTATTTATCGAACAAAGAAACAACTAATTAAGGAAAGCTATCAGTTTTTATTAAAAGCGGACAAATTCAGAACAAGCTATTTTAGACAAGCAAACTTGACGGTGAATTTATTTATTATTTTTTCACATGCAAGCACCAAAAAATCACTTTCTAAAGATAAAAGATTACAGTGATTCCAGATGGTTAAGAATTGAACAAACTAATCAATATGTTCTAGGGGAAAATCGCTTCAGTGATAACTAAAAATGACCATGCTCTGTCCAAAGATGTGATATTCCATAAAACATAGCCATGGAATAAAATAATGACACACCAAGGAAAGACAATATTCAAAAATTTACATTATCTAAATTTGGAAAGAAACTTAATGATTAACTCCCATATGCAAATTAAATTCAATTATTGCTAGAACCCAACAGGTAATAGAAAATGTAATAAGCGGAAAATTTAATCAGAATGAGTATATGAAAAATAAATTAAAGATGAACAAAGTGCATGGATCGATTTTTCCTTTTCATTTCCTAAAAAATTCTCACAACATGCTTTTCCTATAACAAGATAACTGGACACAAGCTTCATATAGCCAAGCAAATATTTTATGGCATGAATAAACTGATGAGTTTGATCCTTGGATCAGTACACATACCACAGCTAATAAGTAAAATAGGATAACTATATGTAGGCAAGCAACATTCAAGAGTTTAAAAAAAATTCAATCCAATTTCGTATGCCAAATCTGGTCAGCAATTTTGCGGTAGCATATTCCAAGCAGAAAATGAAACTTTGCTATATGTGTCAATTAAGCATATCTCAAACTAGCAGAAAACACATAACATGAACTGAAAACTATATAACAACTAAAGAACTATGGCAAACTTACTCATGGCCTTTAAGAATGCGAAAAGGCACTACGAAACAATAAGTTGTTTTTGATAATCTACTATTACTAAGAATCAATATGCAGACTCATACAACCCCATTTGAAAATAGTCAAAAGAAAAACGAGAAGAGAGGGATTTCAAGAACAAGAGAACAGAATACAGGTCATAGTTCACATGCCTCAAGGAAATAAATTAGAATTTGACTATCTTAAGAATGAAAACAAAAGGAAAACAAAAAAAAGATAAAAACATGCTAAATTATGTGATATGACAAAACGATATAGTGAGTTTCGAAATTACGGGAAAGAAATCAACAGAATTGCAACCTATCGACAAAATGCCTTCATCCCATGAATCAATATTATTAGAAATAACTAAGATATTAGAAATAGCATGCAATCTTCATATTAACCCAATGAGAAAAAAACTCTAGGCAATAACTCTCATGAAGGCAACACATCAGACGCTAGGACAGCTTTTAAGGGATTGGAAACATTTTAAATATCAAAACAAAAGCCAAAAAAAAGGAGAACAAAGGATGATGAAGAAGCAATACACTTAAGACGAGTAAAACGATGTGAATGCTAATTAAATGCAGCCATGAATACTTGACGCAATAGCATTTTTAGGCTAAATAAATGATCAATATACACACAGCCCACACACATATTAGGGTCATATTTTCAATTAACAAAATAGAATAGATTGAAACAGCGAAACTCAAAATACTAACTGAACAAAATCTAACAGTGAAAAAACGGCCTTAGATTTAGATATGTTTAACAATAAACTACTAACGATTCTTATAGCAATAGCAAACAAAAAGAACACAGAGAAGTCGAAACAAGCAAAAAGAAAAATATTACCAGTGGTTTACCTTTTTATGGTGCAGCGAAACTTGCTAGAAACGAACTCGAGAACACAACTTCCACCACCCTAACTCTGGCTACGAATAATAAATAGAGAAATAATACCCGATGTTTGACTCAGACTGAAATTTGATTCCCTGTTCTCTTGGAACTAAAGCTGAAGCGTCTTGGCTAAGAATTCGAAATGTTTCTTGTATACTCTGGAAAGGAAAAATCTCTTTGTTATTTATTACTCACCCAAATTTCTCTCCCAAAATTTTAAAGACTAAAATTTCACTCCCTGTTATCTGCCTCTCAAAATTCGAGTAAAAAAAAATCTCCCCTGAACTGAACAAAAAGAGATATATATATATATATATATATATATATATATATATATATATATATATATATATATATATATATTCTAAAACAAAGACGATACTGAATGGGCTCTGTTGCAGCGTACTGCTTGCTTTGAAAACTATTCAGATGGCGCTAGGTACGACGGGCTTTTGCTTTCTTGTTGCAACCGTGGGGAAAGATTTTTACCGGGAAGGCAGCCGAGTCGTCCATCTTATCTTAGAAATTGCCTTAGTAAGGTCCATCCGTCGTAACCCTTACATTGCATTCTATGTCTTTATGTCGCGTTACCGAGAGCCTCGTTTCAAAAAAATACGACGCCTGGGGCTTTACCAGGACTAACTAATAAAAAGCCTAGGACCGATAGGGGTCTTCCAGGGTTTTGGGATGAAGAAAGCGGGAGAAATTCCCCAAAAGATTGGGGCGAAATCGGGATCTCTTCCCCATTTTGAAATTCAAATCCACGAAGAGATAAGGTTGAAGCTGTCAATAGTAGGAAAATTGTAAAATTTCTCAACAAAAAAACAAAACGAGAGTCGTCCGATTTCGCCTCAAGGACGAACGATGGCGAAGATTGCTCCACCTGGCCTGCGAAGGAAGAATCCTCTCTGCTGAAAACGTAAGAATTGATGATGTAGCGAGGAAGACGACTAGAAACGGTCAGGCACACGATTGGTCGCGTTTTATCACTGCTTTTTGCTAAAGCTGCATTTTCCGCACTTCCGCAGCGCGTGAGGCAGACTCACTACGAGGAAGAAGAAGAACGAGGAAGGTCGGTTTATTTCTTTCTGCAATAAGCGTCTACCGTGGGATCCTTTCGAATAAATTGGGTTGGGTCGGATGTAAAGAGTTAAATGGGCCTGGGATCGATTCTGGAAAGGATTATTTGGAATTGGGTTGGGCTTGGGGAATACATCTGGGTTGGGGCGAGGGACATTCTGAAAGAGGGCTGCTGAAATAAAGAAAAAATTAGTAAACTAGTCAAAATAAATAACATATTTAGTAAAAATATCCATATTTTATAAATATTAGCAATAATGTAAAAAATGTCATTATTTTAAAAAATTTATGTGTCCCAATTTTCTTCCTGTTTTATCTCTCTTTTTCAATTAATTCTATATATCCATTTTTTAGAAAAAAAAATCATTCTCTCTCATATTTATCTTTTCAAATTGTTAATTCTCTCTCCCATTTAATTTTTTTCACTCTCATGGTTATCTTTTCTGATTTTCCTCCAACATTCAAGTTGCAAATAATTTTTTGCC